CAATCAATTCTGTCTACAAACTTCAGTCTCAGGGCTGAGGAGAAGACTCAGTGGAGAAAGTACTTGCCACACAATCATGAGGATCCATTCAAATCCCCATCACATGTATAAAAAAAAGGCTCCTATGGACCCATGTTAACTTTTGATCTCTACCTGCAGACACATGTGCATACACACACACAATAAATAAAACTTTTCCTAAAATTATTCAAGTAAAATACCCACAGTCTTAAAAACGTTAGTATCATTATGATCTCACTGTCCCCAAACATATTTCAACATTACTGCTTGTCATCTTGGAGATTCTGTGAGGTATCTACTCCTTTAATTATGCCCCACTTCTGGTATAACTGGCTGTGATGGGCTCTGGAGCTTACAACTATGAATTTTGAATTATACTCTAAGAATCACAGAATTTTGAACTGGATAAAATGCATAAAGGTCACTTCCTTCAATGCCATTCAGTCTCAAATAAGCCATTCTTTTGTTTCCCCACTTGAAAGACTTTTACTAGAAAATTAAATTATCCTTGACTGTTCACCTATCTTATAAGAGACATAAAAGTGTTAATTGCTCTGAACTAATAGCATTCTAGACAAGGCCTTAAATTGCTTGCTATTGTATTTGCTCTCTACACAGTCTATCAACAAAATATAAGATTGCCATCACCCCTTTTGAAATATTAAAAATAGCAATTATCTATTATTTTCTCATTCTAGTTTGAAAGATCCTGATATATCTTCATTTTAATGATGAATCAAGTACACTCACTTATCTAGACATTTGATCTAGCATCCCATGTCTAAACAAAGGGAGAACTTAGGTGAGAAACTGCCTCTAGATAATAGCGTATTTACCAGATTCCTAAGAGAGATACTTCCTCTCGGAGGCATTAACACCTTGTGTAGAGTTCCCCAAGAATCAAGGGGAAAAAACACAGGAAGCAGCTGCATGAGCTAGGCAGTGTCCTTGTGTGGACATGGAACTGATCCACCACATGTAAGCCGTAACCCCCTTCCTGTCCCTTCTTCCACATTCTAGTCATCCTCAACTCCACTGCCTAGTAGTTTAAAGCACCCAGTCAGAGAATAAGCCACCATATATAGGAAACAAAGCCAAAATTATATTAAAAAAAAAAAAAACTTTGCTCCATTAAATTAGGGGCTCTGCCTTTAAAAGCATAATCCTGAAGAGACATTGTAAGTACACAATAAACTGCATCCTGGCAAAATAAAATAAAAAGCCTTGGGGTCTCATTTCTTAGACCGGAAAGCCTACAACAATATAATTCTTGTGTTTATTGAGTGATTATTTTGTTCCAGTGTTCGACTTGGGCACTGGAGATGTACCAATGAAGAAAATGCCTAAGTTATTGCCTTCATGTTGGTAGAAAAGGTAGATAGCAAATGAGTCAATGGAGAAGATAATTGGAGTGCCAATGAGTGTTATACTAAAAACTCCACGGCTAAAATGTGCCTGTCTCCTAGGGTAGTAAGGAAGGCCTTACTGAGAAAGACACAGTTGAACTGAGATTTAAAAGCCCTACACTGCAAATGAGCAGGGACAAAACATTCTAAATCTAGAATAATAACAGCAGAATCCTGTAGTTGAAGAAAAATGTGCATTTGGAGAAACTGCCAGAGGGTGATGGAGAGATGGCCTGGGAACCAACCAGAGCAGGACCCAGATAACATAAGATCTGTCAGAGAAGGAATTGAGATTCTTTCCTCAGATTTATTAAAAAGACAATAAAACCTTTTGAGCGAGGGGATGACATAATAGGCTCTACTTTTTAAAAATATCACTCAGGCTTCTGCCTAGAAAATGGATGTTAGAAAGGATAAAATGAATCTCATTTCTATTATACATGGTTTTTATTTGTTTGTTGGCTCATTTATTTCATGTTACTGTATAGAAAGACCTAGCCCAAAAGACTAGAGAGAATTATCTGGAGGCCAAGTTCATTCATCTCTTACAATATCTGTAGTAATGAAGGAATAATACATGTTTGGGAGACAATAACAAGGCTAACAACTCATTCTATTTTAAGGAAAAGCAGACTTACAACTACTAAATTATATATCAAAAATGCTATGCCTTCTAACCACATAGTCACATTATGACAGATTTGAAGTATTTGCTTTTCTAAGTTGAAAGCCTTAGTGCAGTAACTTTTCTACCATATATACATATTAATTTCATGACAGCTGAATATTCAGATTGTTTCGCATTATAAATGGCAATAGCTCCGAAGAAGCCGAAACAATCTGTCAATTAAAGAATGTGTGTTTCAGAAGTACTTAACTGTGGAAACTGTAATGACTCCAAACGGACTTGTTAAAGTGGAACTGAAAGTCGATTCTTTTTTGAGACACAGCCTCATTATGTAGCCCAGGTAGGAAGTTAATCCTGAAACCTCTTTTGAAGGCAGTGAGAAGCCAGAGGATGTCTTTAGTATTACTTTGCTCAGATTTGCCAAATAGAGTGAAGTTTGGATGGTAAGAAAATACAAATGCACAAATGTTAAATAATTCTCTCTTGTATGTTAGCCATCAAATTATTGGACATTCAGCTGAAAATAGGAGCCATAGTCAAATTGGAGCAGAGAAACTGAATCACAATTTGGCTACATTCTGTCCAACAAACTAGTGTAAAAAATTTATAATAAAACAAATATATTAATGTTGGAATAATGTTTTATTCTCATCAGTAAGAATACTGGTAAGTGCCAGGCACTGCGATAGCTAACCTGGTTAATAAACTGATATGTACCAGGCACTGGGCTAGTGCTGCTAACAATGTCTCAGTTGGTGTTTCCTATAGCTCTAGCAAGAAGATATTAGCATTTATTGTTTTTGTACTTGCGGGGAAGCTCCCAGTAAGTAATTAGATCATTTGTTTGCATTTCCAGAGTCTTTGCTGCAAAGATGAGTACAGGACCTAGCCTCCTCCACCCTTATAGTCTTCACTTTATTAGACTGCAGGAACACTTAAATCGACTTCAAGGACCAACAAAGGATATCTACCCAGACTCATACTACATGCGGCAATGTTTTGAAAATAGGCCTTTTGTTAAGCTGCAAAGTCCAAGGTAGATTTCAACATATCTTCTCTGGTTTACCGGACACAGTAATTTGCATCTGAAAAGGTGTAGAATTGCATCCCAACAAGTTCCAACCTTTGGTGTCTCTTTATAGCTAATTCCTCCCAGAGTAAAGAGATATTTGTTCTTTTACTTGGCTGAACAACCTCAAAATTCTAGGTATCCTAGACCATCTAGAATGACTTGACCTGATTTTTCTCTCCAGATAGGGTCAAACACCACAGACTGGTTCACTAGAGGATAACCAGTACAGAACAAATATGGTTAAGCATTTTCCTCTTCTGATTCACAAAATGCATACCTAGAGTCCTTTTACTTACAGGGTTAGTCTGATAATTTACTAAGTCCCTGCAAAGGCTTCCTTACCAAGTATCAGGTACTGTTACGGATTTTACAACATATCTGATCCAGATAGAAACACACTTGATCCCATCATCATGCACATTCCAGTATCCAGTGAAAATACTCTGATTGACACCAATCTTCAACTTAATAAAAGTAGTCTGTTGGATCACAAAATAGAATTCAAATCTACAAAAGATATTTTAACACAGGATTAGTGGCACATACTCTTAATCTCAGCATTTGGAATTCTGAGGCAAGAGAGGATCATGAGTTTGAGGTCAGCCTGTGCCACACAATGATGCTTTGTCCCCCAAAGACAAAAAAGCTAAAACAAACACTCAAAAACATAAAAGAAGATAATTTTACACTGACCAAAATGGCTGTGTCTCTATAGCAGGGCTTATTAAGTCATAAGGAAAAACTAGTTTTTTTTAAAAAGAAGGAAATGAGGGAAGAAAAGGAAGGAAGGAAGGAAGGAAGGAAGGAAGGAAGGAAGGAAGGAAGGAAGGAAGGAAGGAAGGAAGGAAGGAAAAGGACTCGGGCTTTACAAACAGACTTACAGTAGTGGTCACAAATAGAAAAACTAGCCAATTGCAAAGCAATAGGTATATCCTGTTTAAAAATTATGTTTCAGTGGCTGGGGAGATGATTTAGTGAGGTGCTTGCCACACAAACATGGAGTCTTGATTTTGATACTCATGCATGTAGCTAGAGTTTTCCTGCCTTGCCCACAGTCAGGACAAATCTCTGTCACCTGCCAGTCCCACAGCCGCTCAGACCCAACCAAGTAAACACAGAGACTTATATTGCCTACAAACTGTATGGCCGTGGCAGGCTTCTTGCTAACTGTTCTTATAGCTTAAACTAATCCATTTCCATAAATCTATACCCTGCCATGAGGCTCGTGGCTTACCGACATCTTCACATGCTGCTTGTCATGGCGGTGGCTGGTAGTGACTCCTTCTGCCTTCCTGTTCTTTCTTTTCTCCTCTCTGTTAGTCCCGCCTATACTTCCTGCCTAGCCACGGGCCAATCAGTGTTTTATTTATTGACCAATCAGAGCAACACATTTGCCATACAGAACATCCCACAGCACATGCAAGCTAAGTGAACACAGATACTGAATTCTATCCCCAGACCTCTTTTATTTGAATACACATGATGGCAGTGCTGGTGAACTGGAGCCAGGAGGACCCTTCGAAATTGCTGGCCATCCTAGCCAAATTGATAAGGCCCAGGCCAGTGAGAGATCCTGATTCACAAAGCAAGTTAGATGGCAGCTGAAGAAAAACAATACACATGGACTTTTTACCTGCATACACATATGCAGATGACCTCACATGTACACACACACAAAAATAAAGAAATAGTAACTTGCATGAGTATGAATTAAACAAAATAAACTCCATCTAAAGCACAAAATTAAACACAAGTTTAGAAGGGAGCATAGAGTTGATTAATTCTTCCTTTGCATACATATTCATTAAATTAGTTTAATGTTATTCTTTAAGACAAAGTAATATAATACAGACTTCATTTGATTTGCTTTTCACTCGTGTGCTGTTTGTTTTGATTCTGCATGTCAACTGTTTCTTGAGGATATAGCTTTATTTCTATCAGAAAGAGTTTCACTGAAGAAGGCATTCATGGCAAGGATCCCACTGTGTGAAACAAACAGGAAAACAGTATAAAAAGAGAAATAGTGAGAAAATACAGTTTCTAACAACATTCCTAGAGAATTCAGTTAAAATAATTCAGATCACTTAGACATATTTTAGAAGAAAATAAAACACAGTTCAATTTAAATCATTTACTAAAATTTACTCAAAATGTAATATTCCGCATATGTATGATAACAAGGCTTCCCATGCACTGAGTTTCATAAGGCCCACACAATGCTTTTCCTGTTTTAACTCTGCCTTCTTACTTCACTTGAAACTATTCTTCTTCTACATCTTAGGTTTTAAAATCATTGGAAAACAGTTTAATTAATTCCATAATAATTGAAACAAAGCAAACAAACAATAATCCCCCTCCCAAAAAAATTGAAAATGTCCCTGGAAGAGAAGACAAACTGGCCAGTACTTCTAGTGTATGGACTAAGTTTGAATAGTAGTATGATTTATGACCTGTATGTTTTACTGTGTGTTCAAACATCAAGGTGTACTCATGCACTAATATACTTCATGTGTACAGTAGACTTGGGATATATTCAGGTATCTGGTGGAGTTAGATAACATTATGCTATCAGAATTTGCCTGACCACTCTTACTCATTTTTTATACATAGATTTTAGAATCAGCATCCCTGGTTAGCCTCCAAAATTCCTGTTTGTATTTTAATATATTGCTATGAAGTGTGAGTTGTGTGTGTGTGTGTGTGTGTGTGTGTGTGTGTGTGTGTGTGTGTAATAAAGATAATTAAATAAGAAAAAAATCATGAATTTAAGAGGAAGTGGAAGGGACACAGAAGTAGTTGGAAGGAAAAGAGGAAAAAAAACTCAAACACTTTATAATTTAAATAATAAATAAATAACCAGGATTGATATCATTGTCCATCCTCACTCCTTTCCTCTTGGGGAAGAATTCTTTGGGATTCATTAACAACACTTTAGCATTTAAGTTTATTGTATTTATGTGAGTCTCACATACTTGTATTTATTTTAAAAAATATTTATTGGACTGGAAAGATGGCTGAGTCATTCAAGGCTAGGCCCACAACCAAAACAATAAAATATTTACTTATTTAAGAGTCTTTTTGCCTGCGTGTCTGTCTGAGCACCATGTGCATGCATACGACCCAAGGAGTCCAGAAGAGGACATCAGATTCCCCTGGAAACTGCAGTTACAGGTGGTTCTTTTTCACTATGTGGGCATTGGAATTCAAACCTGGATGCTCTAAAAGTGCTCTTGCCACTGAGCCATCTCTCACTAGGTGATAATTACCCATAAAAAGAATGTCTTTTTTTTTCTTTGTTGGCCTAGTCAATTGATGGATTTTTTAAGACAGAGTCTTGCTATGTAGCCCATGCTGGCTTTGAACTTAGTCACCCCACCTCAGCCTCCAGAGAGCTGAGATTACACACTCTCAGAGGAGATAATATGGTGACTTAGAATGTGAAAAGTTTCTGAGCTCTAAGACTGTTCAAGCAAATATCAGGCATATTATAAACTATGTTAGCAATTCCAGATTCTTTCTCCACTAAAGTTACATGACACTCAAAACTGTAACACATTCTCAGAGGCATAATTGTGTCCTTGTGCAATTTCCTGGTAGGAATTTTTCTTTGTCTCTTCCATGCAAGACACTTTGTCAGAAGCTAGATGTTAAGGAGAGTAACTTTTTATGGGGATAACCTTGAATTCATTCATTCCACTCACAGATATAGAAAGAAATAAAGGCAGACACAATAATATAGATAGAACTATATTCTAGACATAGCTGTTATAGATGCAGTTATAGTGAAGGAATATCTTGATGATTGAATTAGGATCAGTAATGAATTACCTAAGATATAATTAGTAACAAAAGTTAGGATGCCAAAACGTTTTAGATAAACTATAGTCCGAATCTGGAATGGTCATCAAAGGCTCATGTCTTTTCATAGTAGATGAAGATATTTGGGGGTCTCTGGAGTCCTTAAGAACAGGTGATGAACTGGCTTTTTGGAACCTATTCCCCATGCTGGAATGCCTCCCCCAGCCTTGATGCAGTAGGAGGAGCTTGGTCCTGCCTCAAAGTAATATGACATGCTTTGTTGACTCCTATCTGAACAGAGGAGGAGTGGATGTGGGGCGATAGATGGGAGGTGGGGGGAGGGAAAAGGAAGAGAGGGAGGGGAAATTGTGATTGGTATGTAAAATAAATGAAAAAAATTAATAAAAAAAAGAAAAAGAGGAACTGGAGCCTAGCTGTCAGAGAAAGTATGTCACTATGAAGGACCTTTGAAGGTTATATGTTATAATCCCCTCTAGTTCTGGCCATTCTTTGTTGCCATGGGGACAGCAATGCCTACTGATGCCAACTGCTGCTCCACAGTGCTTCTGACCCCCCAACTACAAGCTTTTGAAATCATTATTCAAAATAAATGTATCCTCCTGGAAATGTATATATTTTCTGTTATGTATTTTGATCACCATGGCATAAAAGCCATGAACACACAGTAAAACATACAGGTCATAAATCATACTACTATTCAAACTTACTTCATACACCAGAAGTACTGGCCTTAATCTGAAGCCAAGTACTTTCACAGAACCTCCAGGTGATTCGCTGGTGTGTGTGTGTGTGTGTGTGTGTGTGTGTGTGTGTGTGTGTGTGTGTGTGTGTTCAAGTTTGAGAATTGATTCCTTCCAAGTGAAATGGACATAAAGATTGCCAGAGCAGTAATGAAGTCAGTAACTGAAAAACAGGTCCTTATTTCCATGTCTCCAAAAATTTGAACAACTTTCATCCTTCAAGTACAGGCATGCCACCAAAGAGACGAGCTGCCTTTTGAAGAAAAGCTTCTAATCAGCATTAAGTCACCGGCAGAGAGAGCCACAGAAAACTGCAATCCCTTATGTGCAACTGCACTCATCTCCAAGATTCAAGTATCAGCTGTGACAGATTTTCAGTTATGTTTTCATATTCATCCCTGCCCTCATCCTCATGACTCCGGGCACATACCTAAAGATTTGTTAGAAAATCAAACTGTAAATCAAACTGGTAGTCCAATTTGAAAGACCAGAAGAACACCTTGAACCTTTTCCTTATGCTGTCAAACAGGAAAAAGAGTGCTTTTAAGCATTCATTACTCCATGGTGGTTTTTTTAATGCATCACACCTTGGTGACAGTATCATGTTCAGGCTCAATTTTGCAGCACCACATTACTTATGTATGCATGTCATATTAGTGATTTCCCCCTATAGTTTGAAACCAATCTAGAAGTGACTTTCTGTCCTAGAGTTTTCTTGATGGGAGAAAACAGAGGGAGTTGTTTCTTCATGACAAGATTGGGTCACTGCTATTAGAAGCCTACTGAAAAGTAATAAGAAAAAGTAAGCCCCAAGACACACCAAATCTCAGTTTGCTTTGTGTGTCCCTTTTCTCCAGTTTTCTTTAAGAAAAAAATTTGAGACACTTTGAAAATGTTACCAGCCTCAGTCAAAATTCCTAAACTCATTTTTTTTCTCCTCTCCTTGGATGATTGTTTTCTCTATGGTCTTCTCCTGTTCCACTTTCAAGTCCATGCAGCACAGTTTTTATTAATGCTCAGAGGGGAAATGTCATCTTAATAACAGTCAGGAGTGGCTCAAAAGCCATTTCTCATTAGATGATGACAGGTCCTGTCATACTCAATACATCCTCATGAAAAAGCAAAATGAAAGAGAGTTTTATATCTAAAATATTTTGGAAGTATAATTGCAGGGAGAAATGGGAAATGGAATAATTCAGGGCACAACTGATTCTAATGATAGAGAACGATGTATTGCCTGTGCTATGAAGTAGTATTCTATTTTGTACCTTTTAAGTGCATATTTCTCAAAAAATGAATTGTAAAATATATTATTTTAAATACAATCATCCGAAGAAAATATTTAACATTAGGATGTGGGCTAATATCATTCACTGCAGGGACACTTTCAATTAGAACAAGGCAGTCTTCAGCTGTTACCATTCAATGGCTAATAAACAATTCACCATTGTTTATTAATTAGAAGATCTATTAGGTTCCTACTGTGTACATTAGGAAGCACAGAGGACATAAAGTATACTGAGAAGTTCGAAATTTGACCCTGAAATGTGAGGTACTTTCTAGTGTCAGTTGAAGCCGTTGTGAAAACTGGGCAGTGAGAACCTCTAAGATACAGTGCTGTTAGATGAAGTTAGATGAAGCATGCTCAGAAAAAAAACATTACCAGGCTCCCCTTCAGGAATTGAGCTAGGAGACAAAATGCCAGAGGTGACGAGAAAATTGCACTGTGTGAAAGAATATGTCCAACAAACACTACCAGGTGCCTCAAATCCTACCACTGTGCAGTCCATTGGAATCATTGATAGCTGTGTGCAAGGTGCTGCTATGATAATCTCATGGGGAATATAGTGTTTACAGAATGAGCAGCTCATCAGCATCTACTTTTCAACCAGCCTCTGAAGGAAGAGTAGGAGAAACATGATGACACTGGATCTTTAAAGAGACCTTTAGGTGATGGGAAGGAAGGAGAGAAACACTGCTGAATCCAGGGATGAAACAGAGTTGCTGGGTAGTCTAATGATTGCTTCGACACAGGGGAATGTGAGGTAACTTACCTCATCTCTGTATCTGGAAGGGGCATCTCTGACATTGCGAATGTTTTTAGCGCATTTGGAGAATGGGACTTGAGGCTGCCACAGCATCCCAAGAAACCAATTTGACACATGTGGCAATGCAACAACAGTGGACTAAGGAGACCACCAGCACTAGATAATTAAAGTCTTGTGTAGCAGGTAAAGCAAAATCCAGTCATACATAGAAGAAAATAGCAGTAGAATATGTCACATAAGAGTTCCTCTCACTTACAAGGAATCAAGCTAGGCAGGAGATGGTTGAAATAGCAGCTGCACATTGTTGCCAGGAACAAAGATTCCTTTCATTCTATTTTCTCTTCCCAGTTTGGGGTTCTTATCTTTTATAATGCC